CACAGCAACGATAAAAGAAAAGTAAACTCTTAGGATACATAAAAAATTAGACTGTAATACTAGAATAGAGTTTAATAGCACAACACCTCCTATGTACATATAAAGCTTATGCTGACACAGTTAATTCTTTATATTTGTACATGTGAAGTACAGACATCTTGCCTAAATTTGTCCTCCAACACTCTCATACTTCCAGTGAATTCAGCGTAGTATTTAATAGTAGAATTATCTAATTTTCATTTAGAATTGTTTAATCTGTCTAGGCAGACAAAATTTACTACTTAGGAAAGGAAAAAGAATCACAATATTTCTTTTCCTTTTACAGTATCACATTTAAAAACAATATAATTAAATTACTTATCCTTTCATAAAGAAAACCTGGTCATGTGAATATTTTAAGTGTAATCTGGAAATCAAATTTTAGACAACAATACTGACTTACATTTAGAGAGGAAAAATTGTATTATAGAAGATAACTAAACATCATGACACAGTTTATTTGAAGTTCTTAACAAAATTTTGTTTCATAATGTTCACGTGTTACCTTCCAAGGGTAAACACTCATGGTACACTGGTGCATCAGTCAGTGTATGAATCACAAACCATTAGAGCTTGTACTTCTTTTTATTCATTTTATTTTGTTTTCTAAAAGGTTAATGTACATGTATATACAGTTCAAAGAACTTCAGATATTTTTAGAGAAATCAATAATCTTTCCTGTGACTTTACAGTAGTGTTAGAGTTCACTTTTTCTTTATTTCTACTAAAAAAACCCCAAAAACACAGAGACAAACAAAGGAATTTTCCAGTCTTCATTTCTCAGAAACTATTCATGTGTTATGTTTTTCAAAACATCATTTAAAACTATTATATATAATTTGTGGGGTAAATGTTGCTGCTCTCCCTCGATTCTTTCTCAGAAAGGTTAGCTGTGGACCTTGCAAATTTGTACTCAGTTTTATGTTTTACATCTGCTTCAAAAAAACAAATCTAAAAATCAATAATAGAACTATTTCTTTACTTTATATCTTATTTCATTAACACCTTTCTGGCTTTCTTCATTTTAGCTTATTTCATATTTCAAAATCTTGTCTTGCATGTGCAACACCTTGTTTTACAAAAGAGCATAGCAGAACCACATTAAAGTTGAAAAAAAAAATAAAATAAAGGAGCACGTTGATTAAGAGGTTTTGTACAAGCTATAGCTCAACTGAACAATAACAAAAAAATCCTCAGTGGTTGTGTGGTGTATGAGATAGCAAAATAGCCAAAGTATTCTTCAACAAAATGAGCTGTCTGCCACGATTTATCTGTACAATTCCATCACATCTCCTGCCTGTTATGTTACACTTTTCAAAAGTATGTCATTAAGCTGCCATAAAAGTCATCACAAATTGCTTTTTCTCCCAAACTGATAATAGACTTATAGATCTAATTTTCAAGCTCTTTTCTTCATTACTTTGATTCTTAAGGAGAGTATGACATTTGCTGTCTGAATACTTTGTAGTAATATCTGGCATCTCTACAGCACTTCTGTCTGAGTATCTCTGAGCTTTTAATAGGTTTGTCTTAACAGTGCCTTGAAATGATGACATATTTATTTGTCTCTATTGCAGAGTCTTAAAGAAATTGTTTTTATAATTTCACTGAAAAACTACAAGACTTGTTGAAAAAAAATGACACAACCAAGCCTTCAGTGCTGTCAAGCTACACCATTAAAATCCTGACCCTTCACAGCACAAGAGCAAAGAACAAATGTGAGGCCTTCTGGTTTTCATTCCAATTTTTTTATCTTCATGGACTGTCCTCTACACAACACATGAGAGCTGATTGACAGAAACAACTAAGTAATTGAGAAATTAACAACAAATTACAATTAGATTTTCATTCTTATGGTGATCCCCCCTCATTTTTCACCAGTTAATATATGAAACTTTTTTTTTTTTGTTCATATAGGCCTTCATATGTATCAGACTAACATTCAGTACATGAAACTGGCCTCAATAATGAACTAAGTGCATTTGTGACAAAAGCTAGGAATAGGCTGGTGTAGAAAGTTGCTTGCAGGGTTTATGAAAGTAACACAGGAAAAGATCACAGGAGCAAGGATGGAAAATCAGGGTGAAGGAGAAACAGAGAAGAAAGAAAGTTTCCCTTTTATTATCTCACAACCAAATTTTCCAATTAATATGCAGCAAAATCCACCACCCAAGTAGCCTCTAGTGATGTAGGTCACTTTTGAAGCACTTGACCAAACACTTAATTACCCTGTCAATTAATTACCCTGTCCCAGGCCAATAAAATATAGACCTTTTATCAGATTCTTTCAGCACTGATCTTCAAACACTTCACAAATGTGCTATTATGCATCACAGCCAACCCCAGAGACACAGTAACTCACCCTGTTTTACCCAAAAGGTTGATGAGAGAGCTAAAAATAGACACCATATTTCCCCAGCCCCAGGGGCACTACTTCTCGTGACACGGGGCCTGATATTTCTTTGAGAATACCCCAAGTCCAAACTGTCAATTAGCAGTCACTTCTACTTAGACAAAGAAACCTAAACCCCTCTACACTGTCATAGCACAGGCAACCAGCCCAGCTCTCAAGTGCTGTGTTTCAAGACATCCAAAGAGGTCTTCAGAGCAGTTATTGGGGTGTGCCTGTGCTCTGCAGGGGCAGGACACTTCCCAGACCAATTACTTCACGTGGAGCTTCCTTGCTATAGTCCTTCTGAGCAAGCTCATTCATCTTCATATTCCATTATGCAGTGTAGATACATCCTCAGACAAATCAGTTTCTCTAGGTAAGGGATACACATTTGTTGAGGCAAAAACCAGTTTAAGAAGCATTATTATGAACAAATGCTCTCACAGTACAACCACTTGTATTTCCAATTGACTCCCAGTTTAAATTCTTTGTGTTTCAGAATGGATTCAAACTGAAATGGGAAAAAAATGCAGTGTTCTGCTTATATCAGAACAAGAAATACATCACTAACAGCTCAGCTGAAGTCTGGCAAGGAGAGGTGCGAGACTGGTTTTTTCCCCTAGCATGAAAGATGTGATTTGCTCATCCTTAGAAGAAAGATTAGTCTGAACAACAAAGAAACATCAAATTCCAAAAGCATTGCTTGCATTGGAAACATGCTCAAGTTTGGCAATAACTTTGTCACACGCTTTGTCTACGCTGAGCTTATTTAAAGTCTGTATTTTCCTTTACAGACTCTCATAGAGCCTGACTGAGAACCCCCAGTTCCCAAGGCCCCATTTTTGATTCACCCTCTCTGCTATCAGCAACTATCTGTAAAACTTCCTACAAGGTATGCATTTTTACATTCCTCTAACACCAGTTTGGCACAGAAGAACCAGAGTTCAAACCTTACCTTGCCAGTGATCAGTACAACCACATAACAGAAAGCAGCCATTTTTCAGCTTTTTCAGGTATAAAATGCACACACCCTCACCACCCCTGAAGAACACTACCATAAGAAAGTGCTTTCTAATGGTCAAGAAACTAAAGTACTTCTCTCCCTCCTGTACACTGTATTATACGGCTTTCAACTCACCAATCTTACTGTAGTTTTTTCCAGAGGATCTTTACCTTGTTGTAAGGATAGTAGAAACAGTGCTGAATGAGCACTCATTCAATTAATCCTCACTGTTCACTATGTGGTGTCTTGCTGTCATTTACAGCATCTACATGTAGAATCATAACTGGAAAACCTCTCATTTCTCTGTTGATCACTACTGGGCACTTGACTTATTTCTTTATAGTAACTACTCCCCAGCACCTCCATCAGACAATTTTATGGTTTTTTTTTCAAGGTAGCAAACTGGCAGACAGTGATGTGTATCAGAATCGCCCATCATTAGAGATGGTTGACTTGAAATACTTTGGGTCTCTCTTCAGAGGATAAAGCAATTAAACAGCAATTTGTCAGTACAAAGTACAACTTCAATCTCTTTCAGTGCTATCATGTGTTTTCAAAGCTGACATTAATCAGTCCCAAGAGCCTGAACTCAGAAAATGAGAAGTTCACAACTAATGGCCATATTTAAAACATGTGGTTGAAGTGAACCACCCAACCTCACACAGGAGTTCTATGGCTGAATTAAGATTTGCCTTTAACCCTTCAGAACAGCATCCAACAGCCCCGGGTGTAAATCCCATCTGTCAATGCTAATTCCCTCCCTTTCTTCACCTACCAGGTCTCCTCCACCTTCAGCAGCTACAAGGAAGCAAATCTAAAGGAAACAAGCTCATTAATTAGCACAGCTGGATTAATTTCCTAAATGCCATTTATCTGGCCTTCCTGGAAACAGCAAGTGCTTTGTGGATAAAGAAAGAGTCTGAAATTACACCAGAATATGCCATTTTAAGGCAGAAATTTATCACTACCAAGCTGGGTTTACACCAACAACTTCTATTCCAGCATTTCCTATCTGTTGAGATCTTTGCATTGCATCCCTGTCAGAGAACTCCACATTCCCTGAATTTTCACTTCATGCAGTCTCAAATAACAATCTAAGGTTTAAATCCATGTTTGTATTGCCATGTCCCTTGATACATTTGCAGCTTCAAGCCTGAGAAACTCCTACTACAGGACCTCTTAATACTGAACACATCCAAAGAATCTCTGCAAGGGCACAACTTCACTGCCAATCTATTGGTCTGTGCAATGACTACAACACAGCATAGGAACTTTACAGGGCTAGGACTTCCAGTGTAGCAACCACCAGAAATCTCTCAACACTAATTTCTACCAGGAACCTTTGTATCACCTCAGAAAAGTGAGTTTCTTTCAGTTTCACCAATGCCAGCATGTAACATATCACTGTTTTCCTTGTTTGACTCCAAGTCAACAGCCAACCCCGAATTTCAGAATGCTTTGCAAACCACAGCAGCATCACATTTCTGTCTGTGCTTTGCCACTTGAGTTCATCATCAATAAATACTCGTTTGAATTCCTGTTTAAAAAAGTCAAATGCAAACTCACCTCATTCCCACCAACAGCTTTGGTTAAAATTACAGCAGAAGACACAGGAGGTGGCATGCAGCCCACTGTCTGCAAGCTGAAAACAACAAAAAGAATGTTATATTCCATTCCTTACAGGAGGCAAACACTAAGCAACCTGCTACCTTAAAATACCAAAGAGCCAAGTAAAGTCTTATCACCTGTGCAGTGCAATCAGTTTCCAATCACCTCCAGCCCTGTACTAGGAAAGGCACTCCTGCTGGCAGCATTTCTGTGCCATCTCTCACCAGTCATCATGGTGAGAGTCATGTCACCATGCAAAAAGCACAAACACTTAACCTCTCTGTGACTCCACTTCCCCATCTGTAGTCCTGCAGCTCTCATGCACAAAGGTCTCTATACATCTTTCACAGACTTCCAGATAAAATCACCTGACTGCCATCAAAGCATCAACAGCTTTCTCTTACACTTTAGAAATCCAAGATATCCTATTATTTTTGTCATTTCTTAGCATTGTTTGTGCAGCAAAGTTATTGAAGTGCACAGTAAATGCTGTTGCAAAGTAAGAAAAAGGTGGTGAACTTTCCTTTGTTTTCAAAGACAGTTCACAAAATCATACCACATAAATTACAATTAAATTTGGGGCTAAGTAAAATAGGGCTTCTGAAGAAAAACTGTATTGACTTGGAAGGAACAGCAATGCATGGAATAAAATAGATTGCAAAATCCCCAAAAGTGTGGAATCTACATATGTTTTCAAGTATCAGAGCTTGAGATTCCAATTCAGAACAATCAATTACTAGTGGTGAACTACTTTGCATTTGTAATACATCAGTAGAACCCTCAAGAAAGGCAGTGCCAAAAAGCTGCAGCAAACAGAAGTATTAAACCCAGGCACCAGGGTGCACATTACAGTGCAATTGAAATTCTGCAAATATACAAAAAGCTTAAAGAGAAGAAACAGGTAAGTGACAATGACAGCATTCCCTTTGTCAGCTACAGCCTCTGTGGGAGAGGAAGGAGACAGCCAATGTAAGCATTATATAAATCCAACCACAAGGTGCCAAGCACCACCTTGGAAGCACAGAGCAAACTTACAGTGAAATAAGCTATGGCAGCAGAGAGTTGTCATCACGTGGCAGAATAAGCTCACATTGAAAAGAAAAGAAATACAGGAAAAAGAAACTGTGCAGGAAAGTTTGGAAACAGAGAAAAATATACAGCAGACAAACAAAGACATGGCAATCCTGATGTCCATCTCCTACACTGTGATACTGTTCTCTCTCCTGTGTGGCAGCCAGCTCCTCAAACTTCTCACCTGCTCTAATAAGGAGTGGATTAAATTCAGAGTTATCCAGAGAGGTACAAAATGCATGCAAGAGCATTCATCTCAGCTGGCAGGGATTTTCCATACTATAAGGGAAAGATTTAATCATACAATCTCTGTTAACCCTCTCAAATAGAAAACAACACATTTGGGATTAAAAATAAAAATCCCTATCAAGCAGTATTAATCTAAAAAAACCTGGTACACACTAAAAGGACACACTCTTAATTGAGTGTATTGAAAGATGCACCTGTAAACTTTTTTTTTCAGTTTGTATCAACTACATAATTCTACCAATATATAAACAGATTCCTCTAATGGCCAACAGACTACTGGAGAGAACAACCAACTCATACATTCCACTGGATCAGGCCATGCTGTGAGTACTAACATCAGACACTTGCTCTTCTGCTGATATCACTACAGACAACTGAGCAGCAGAGTCTGAAGTCACATGTTTCAGATGTGAAAGTTCCAAAATTGTACCTTATACTCAATCTTTGCATCTCATTCCTTACCACCTGTGCTGTAAATGCTACATGCTAAAAGTGGAGAAGAGGTGAATCTGTGCATAAATTAATAACCTGCGTCATGCTCCTTTTCAAATAGATATTGTCAATGCAAAACCTGGTCAGCTAACAAAAATAATTAACTTATAAGATGCTTAAGAGGATGTCAGTTTCTCCTCTATCTCATAAATCTCAAAATAATTGCAAAACAACAAACCTCCTAATATCATCCCAAACAGAGAGGGGGGGAAAAGAAAAAAATCCCACTCAGCTGTAGAGACACAGATGAAAAGCTGGTACCACCTGTTGTCATTATAGTGCAAGAGTTCTATTGTCAGTACATTGCAAGGGTTCCATATTGCTAGAGTTTCATACCCCCTTGATGGTTCTTGTAGGCAGCTCCTCCAGGCACTGACTCTTCCTTGTCCTCACAGTCACCAACTGACTCAAGATCCCTCAACCAACCAATCTACTCTTTTATAACACTGTTCTTATTGGCTACAGCTGCAGCCTGTTAACATCAGGCCTGCTCCTGATCTCTAGTAAGTGGCTCAGCTGCAACTCTTTAGGGGATAAGATTACTTTCTCTACCACCTTCATTTACCTATATTCTATTCCCCTACAACCACTCAAACGTGCCTCTCAAATAACACAGCAAAACTGACCATTAGAGAGGATGGGAGAATCTACCATGGGAGAATCTACCATGCATTCTGAAGCAAGATGGAAAAGGTTCTGTGGGCTGTGCCTTCAGGCATAACCTTGTGTAGGGAGCAGTGGAGAGCTGCAGTGCCCATGGAGCCACCCTGCAAAGGGTGCTGCATGCCCTTGGGAGCACATGCCTGTTTTTCCAGCCTTTTTGAGGGCTATCAAGCAGCCTCCACCACATGCTGTGCTAAATGGGTGATAAGGAAGCAACTTTGCCCAAACCTGTCTTGTTCCCTTCCCTGTTTTCCCTAGGTACTGTAGTGTTTCTAAGGGAATAAAAACTACAGCTGGGGGGCATCAGGATGAACTTTTGTTTACACAGAGCTGCCACAGCACAGTCCCTCCCATCAGCTCCTCACACACACACACACAGGGACCTGCTTTGAAATGTGTTATTCTAAATTAGGACAGAGCTCAGTATCTTTTGCAACTGCATCACCTGTACAGCTCTGAGCATGTCCTGAACAGCAGTATTTCTCAAAAAAGCACTCTTAAAAATACTCAACCAAACCACCTTAATTAAACTCCTCAATCTGATCATTCTTTCAATGAAGCCTCACTACAGAGTTACTGTACTAAAAGATAAAAAAGCCAAATCAGAAGCAGTACTCAAGGAACAAGTGCTTGAAAGGCAGCTTGAAGCATACAGAAGTGCAGCAGCTCACCAGTAAGACAGACACATTCTCATGACAAATGAGCCTGATTAGGCTCCACACTTAGAGAGATAAATGCACAGGTATTTCTTTTCTTTACAAAAACACATACATCATAAGTTTTACAAACAGTTTTACAAGTGTTCATGCCTATATACATATAATTATACTCATGCATGCAACAGATTATGTCACTCAAGTACCTAGAACCAAAGTGGCATAAGACTCATGGGAAAGAAGGAATGAGACATGCTTCATGGAACCAAAAACCCCACAGAAATCTCTTTCACCTTGCACTTCAGAAATTGAAACTCCATGAATTAGGAAAGAATTTTGGCTACTGTGGAAAATCACATATTTCTCCTACCTGAGAAAAAACTTCACAATTATTTTATTTTAAAGAACACCCTTTACTACAAATAGCTAAATACAAATGAACATCATATATCAAAGTTGTTACTTCCTTGCTTTACTGACACTGTTAAGCAAAAAAGTGTTAACTTTCAAGTTAATGTTGCCTCAGTGTCACCTTTTCAGTATCATTTGGACCAATTCACACTTGATGGAGCATCAGGAGAAGTCTCTTACAAACCAAATGAAATGCTTCTTTAGGTTTAGGCCTTGTAGAAACATAAACATGAGCAGCTTTTTCATTAAACTTTTAAGACAAGGAACTCCCCAAGCAACGTTTTACCAAGCAGTAAGAAACAATGGGGATTCTTTCAGTAGTTTTCTGAAATAATTGATTTTTAACATTCAAACATTCCAGTATACCTGCATGGCACTAAGTATTGACTCCCATTTCAAAAAAAAACCTTTTAACTTTTTATTTTACATAGCATCTATCCCTAGTACACCATCCACGCAGCTTTGCACATTGGCAAGATTTAAAACACACTGTTTTCATGGTAACTTCGTTTCTGCTCATCACAAAGTTCTTGTCCTAAAAAAACTTTACTCCTTTTTTTCCCCATAATTTAGCTGGAAGCAGATACTGAACCCACACAAGAAATGCTCAACACAAACTACTTAAAAACAGAAGACCAGTATGTGACATACACAATATTTATTCACTGATTTATGCTTTTCCTTCAGCATTCCTTTTCTTTCCTCCCCACCTTCCTTGAGACCCAACACATCACTTCAGCTGTGTTTTGGGAAAAAGAAAGCTAACCTGTTGCAACCTCCCTAACATAAGACTGTCCAGACTTTCTGAAAATGAGACCAAGTTCCTGAAGGGATAATCTTGTGCATGTACTTTGTTTTCAACAGCAAAGTGCTGAAGCACAAAAAACAACCAGCAAAATCTGTTCACAGTACCACAAAACACCAGTTGCAGGATAAGCAGCCCTTTAAGATGACAGCTACAAATATATTTCACTCCATTATACTTAAACATACCCTTTTAAAAGCCATTCATTTATAGGTGTGATTGATAACAGCTGAAGAAAGACCCATATTGCTGTTGGGAAGAACACAAGTGTAAAAATCTGGACAAAAAGGTGTAGTTTCACATGCATCAAAGCACTTGTCAGCTCCTGCAAGAGAAAAAGAAGAGAGGGAGTTGCAGTCATAACAGCTGAAGCAAGATCATATTTGTGCTTTTAAAACTAGGATCAGCTTTACCATACAAAAGGAATGCATGTCAAAAAGTCACCTTTAGGGATCATCTGATCTCTTTAATAATGAAGTACATCCAGGCAACATAAAAGCTGTCTGCTCCTGGGCATTTTTCCACAAGAATTGTCCAGCACTTCAATAATAGTGTAGCTCTCAGAACAGCAGCTTTTCAGCAGGCAGCCTTAGCACTTTGTCATGGCTTCGAAACCTGTGTTAACTGCACTGATGGCTGCTCACTTTACTGACTTTCCATATCAGCAATCATGAAAACTTGTACTGAGCACATGATTTCAAGCTCCTCTGTCTACAAATGCTGATTTTAATTTATATTATTAAAAAGGAAAAAAGTATGTTTATGGATGTTTGTATTACCAACCATTCGTTTGTGGTGTCAGGGTTTTTTTTATGTTTGATATTTTTCCCCTAAAAGCAAAGTAGCAGACTTTGATTATTTATTGAATCAAAAGGAAATTTATAGGAAAAAAAAAGGCTGATGAAGAATAACAAAGAAAGAATACCAAGACCATTACAAGCTAAAAACTGTTAAGCTGTCAATTTCAGAGAAATAAAGTCTAAAATACCACTGCAGACTCAAAAAACAACAACAAAAAGCTTAATTTTAAATAGTGTAAGAGCACTCCAGAGAGGTGATCAAGTACCCTTAAAGAAAAAAACTCTTCAGCTAGCTCTGTGTCTCTGTTTCTGCCTTTTCAGGCACTTCAAGGACCGTCTACACAGGTTTTTGAGTACAACAAAAGAGCCTTGCACATTTCATTTCAAATCTCACAGACTGAGAATAAAAATTCCTCTTTCTTTCTCTCACAGTAACTTGCACTCTTCTCAAGTAAACAATGCAAAAGAACTGATGGCACTCTTATTCAAAATCTAATTTGCTGGGATTCTCCAGCTGATACTCCAGATGCATTAAACATACCTACCTATCTATCTGTATCTCACATACAGAAGTACCCTTCTAATTTCATACTTTTACAATTTGAAAATGCCTCAAAACCAGAGGGTTTTAAGGAGACTGTGATACTTCCAAAACCAAAACTCAAGACAGAAAGAAAGCCTCATTGTAACTTCCAGGGAGCAAGGAAGGTGATACAACACAGCCAACCTACTGCATGGAGGAATGCTGTATTGATGGAACAAATCTTTGCAGATCTAAATTACCAATCTTGAAAATGTCTCCAGTGATTGCCTTTGAGGATGGTAACAGTTATTTAGAATAGTTATTATTATAATAGTATGCCTTAGACTGGATGATCACAGCATAAAGTGTGCTGAGGAAAACAGCCTTCACCCTCTTAAACAATTTACAAGGGCTTATCCAAAAATACATCTGCCACCCCAAAAAAGTTGCTGGAAGCTGCTGGTCAGGACTGTGTTTCTGCACACCAGACAGAACAGGTTACCTTGTCTTGCCCAGTATTTCACACCTTTTAGGGAGCCCATCCCAGCCTCTCCCTGGCTGGTGTGGGTCCCTGTTGCCATCCAGGCACTCTTCTGATAGTCACAGCTGGACTCCTCTGAGCAAATACCCACACAGAGCAAGCAGTGTTTGCAGTGCCTTGCCAAATTCCTCGTTGAAATGGATAACTCAAGTATGTGATTTAATTTCTGGGGCCCTATGGGAGGTATTTGCTTTAAAAGAGCAAGCTATCCAGTCACTGCAAACTGAAATAACATTATATTAAGGTGGAATGAAATGTTCTTGTCAGAGAACACTGAGTATTTCTACAAATGTAAGAGGACCTTGGTCACCTCTGGTTCTGAAAGTGTAACAAGGCCATGCACAGACAGGCTCTCCTTGATTGTTGCCAATTATTCTGTAAAATGCTTCCTGAACACACTAGCAAAATTTTTTGAGCATGCACTTACATAGCAGATTAAACCAGAAGTGTAACCTTAAATTATTTCTAATTATTTCTAATTATTTCAAAATTATTCTAATTATTTCAAAATTATTTCTAATTATTTCAGATTTATCAGAAGGCCTCTGTTAACACAAACTTTTCATACTGTCATAAACCAAACACTAGTTTCCATCTAACTAATACATTATCTAAGGTAGAACAGCTGATACACAGGTCAAGAACAAATAAAGCTAAAAGCAAAACCATATACTTTGCAATCCAATAAAAAGGCATATTGAGTAATAATACCAACTTTAGGTTGTGCCTTAAACAACTAAAACATGCCTCAAAGTATTTTAATAGAAACATGACCTGGCCACCTAACATATATGAGGATTGTTTTTAACATACACTTTTGAAAGTAATAGCACAAGCTACAATGTGAGAAATTATTTTCTTCTTCTGGCTTCTACCCCCATGGCAGAAATTCAGGAAAGGCCTAGCTTCTTCATGAAGCTGGGTTACAGCAGGTGCCCTGACTGCTGCTCCCAAAACAATCTGAGATCAGCTACCTGGACATAAACATCAGCTCCTGTAAAAGCTTCATTTACATCAATTGCTTTTAATACCACAGATGGAAAAAAGTTATGTAAGTTCAAGGTAAGACATGACACATTGCCCAGAAAACTGGCAGTCACATCACCTTAACTGGAAGAAGTTAGATGTGAACTAGCATGGAGAATTTAATCAAGACTTTGACAATGCTTCTGATTTCTCACAGCTGCTTTACAAAAACATGGTTTCAAGGATACAAACTAGTGAAAGGGGAAAAAAAAATTACTTTTTTTTCTCTACATGCAAAGATTCCTAAGCCTGAAAGAGGAAAAAGTCCACTCTGGTAATACTACTCAGGTTTGTGTTTTGAGTTCTCTTCTCTATGGAAGACAGTGCCTCACCACAGCTTTTAATTTAATTAAATTAATTTAATTAGTGGAAATTAATTTAATTAAAATTAATTTCCATTAAAGTTGAAGAGATGAAAGCTCACCACTATAACCATGACGCAGGTGGAGAGACTTTTTTTTGTTGTAGAATGCAGTGTTCACTCAAATCCTGGTTCACCAGGAGATAACTGGATAAATTTGTGACGATTCTTTCAGGCATTAGTATCATGCAACTTATGAATAGCATCCCCTGTTAGCCAACAGCATAAAGGAATCAGAAAGCTAGACTAGCAGAGACATGCAGTGTTTCATTTCAACTCTGGTTGCTCCATCTCTTCTTGGCACATAGCCATCATCTCCCTTCTCCATGATTCCTTCACATGCCCTTTCATCTCTTCTGAATCCCAGACTGTTCCTCTTTGAATAACAAGTGACACAAAATTTTAGACAAATCTCAGTGCCTGTGATATGCACCAGAGTGCAGGTACCTCAAATCCACCTGTCTAAACAAAATCCTATGGGAAGACATTGCCAAGACTTTGCCCTTGTATATTGAATTGTATCTGCATGGGAATCTTTCTGTGCTGACCCCAGCTGCTGCCCTGGCCCTACCAAACAGGGTAACTTAAAGCCACCATGTCTTTGTTCCCATCAATCCAGCACTGAACAGCTGCATCTCACCCTGATTTGGGTTTGGGCCACAATCAGGGTGTAGATCCAGTCTCCAAATTGTGCTCATCACTTCCATTTAGTTAAAGCTGTGCAGAGACAAACCACCCACCCTCTGTGGATGGGTGACATTTATTCACACCATCCCTCTTATCATCTTCATTGCTTTGTGAAGCACTTTCTGAAATCAAGGAGGGTTATTCCTTAAACATATAACATTTATCTTCTCTTGCTAGCCATCCTCCCAGTACCACCACCATTCCAATTATATTCAAATCTGACCAAAAGGAACACAATTTTTTTTTAGAGCATAACAGGAATGAAGAAATGAGAAATTACAGTACCTCAGTTTTTAAGGAGAGTCCACTGTTAAAGAATATAGCTGAAACAGCAATGTAAGTTATGGTAATTTCTGGTTTCAGGGGTCCTAAAAAATACAGACATAGAGAACAAAGTGAGTTACAGTCAAAGGGATAATAATATGTGTATACTATATCAGAGTAAATGAGAATACTTTAAAAAATACCTGGAGAAAGTCTAATCAGTAAAGTTTCTAATAAAAAGAATGGCATTTCTATCAAGTTACAGAAAGCATGCTATTCATTTTTAAATAAGAGTAAACCAGTAAGTGCAGAGTAAGTTAGGTCATCATATAAATTTGACTTCCATGATTAGAGGCCACTGGGAACTCACAGGCAAATTCTGGAAATATGAAAATGGGGAGCCTTTCACAGTTCTGCCATCAGATTATCCCTACAGCATCAGCAAACTCAAGCCATACACTCCAATAAAAATATTAGCTGGTACCTTCAAAGGGCCATTGACATCCCTCACACAGCTACCTCTCACTTCTTTCCCTACAACACACACACCTGTCTGGCTGCCTGCACAGAAGGACCCAAATCACACCTTGCAATGATTTCCTCGGGGCAATACAATTCTGTGTTATTCCCCTCACAGCAGAAAATGGTTCCAAATGGTTCATTCCAGCCCCGCCATAACACATTTCAGACACTGCTGCAGTGAGAGCAGCAAGGGCAGATGCCTGCACCACCAAGGATTCCTCTGTATTAAAGGCTTACATTTGTATATATTTATATACTTTTTTCAGGGAGATTAAAATATAGTCTCTTTTACGCTCCTATAAAAATGACAAATTCTCTTAATACACTTTGCCTTCAGAGGCCACCAGGCATAAAATGAATGTGCTCATTTTTTCATGAGCTTTCAACCAGATATTACATTAGAAAGAAAATATTAGCAGTCTACTTAGGACCAAAATAATATCCTCACTCTACAAGTGACCCTAAGCTGTCCTGAGCAAAACTGCAGCAGCAAACAAGGCAGCCTTGACTCAGCACTGCAGAAGAGAGGAACCTTTCTGCTCCCCTGATGAATGATACATTGATGGTCACACTGGAGTAAGGTCAATGGTCCTTAAATCAGAGGGACTTGACTATACAAGTCAAATTTGCATCTCAAGTCATTTCAACCCAAGTCCTACTCTCAGAGAGAGCTCTGCTGGCAAGACACTAAAACTGTGTTTGCCAAACACCAAAAAAACCAAAACAAAAAAAAAAAAACAAAAAAACAAACAAAACCCCCAAACAAACAATCAAAAAAGCCCCACCAGGCTACAGATATGTAAGACTAAGGTAAAAATAAGACAGGAAATGCAAGAGTTATAGTTGCAACAAAGCACATGACTAGTTGCAAAATTATGGCACGTTAACTGAATAGATGGGGGATGGAGGGAAACCCCAAGAGATTATATAAATATATATATAGCTCTACAGAAAACTATATTTTATAGACACAATTACCTCTTTTTTCTAATCCTTTAGAAGATTAGTCTCTGTGTGCATGCACATACAGCAGACAGGCAGTGGGTTAATCTGGCTAAAACAGAGGTTCTTCCAGGACTCAGTTTTTTCTGGTTTTTCACTGGGCTACCTGAACTCCTTCTCCCAGGAGAAGCCTCTACCACCAGAGCAACCACACACTCGAGGAGCACAAGGAACTCTGGCCACAACAGAAAAATTCTTTTCACAAAGGAACTAAATGGGCTCATTTATCAAATAGGAAAACCCACAAAAATGGCTTGGCTTATGTCACGAAGGTGACAACAACACAAATCTTTGTTATTTATGGCACAATCTTCCTCGGGTATGGATGCTGGACCATCCATATCATTCACTAAAGCCCTGCAAATTACCATGCATGGCTTTGTCAGCTGGAAGATGACAAACTAAGGTTTTCTCATGTGTTGATATTTCCCACCCCTCACCTCTTTCTGCTTTTAAAAAGAAATATTTTTCTTCCCCAGAGCACGGAGATCCCATGGTTTCAGAGGAGGGGATACCACCATGGGGAACATGTGCTCTCTACTTTCAATCAATGCTTCCAAGGTTTTTCAAGCAAGTTGTCCCAAGAACAATAAAGTGTCAAAGCTTGACGTCTCTTTGCAGCAGGATAATTTAATGCAGTGCTCCATCATATGCTTCCATGCAGGAAGTGAGCCGAGGAACAATTATCTCCCGTTCTAGTTCGAAGGACCTCCCACACGGCTGCTAACAATTAGCACGGCACTCAAAGCAGAAAGGGACAAAACACCTGATACTATCAATTTCTAGTCGTCTCTAAGGTCTGCGGAAAACACAGCACGGATCCTGCAAGAAGCTCCACGTGGGTTCTATTCACCCATGCAGAACAGCACACCGATGTTAGAGGGGATCCTTGCACAGCAGGAATTTGCCTACCCTGAACTCCATGAAGTACCAGAGCCTTAGTTGCCACAGCATGTGTTCAGAGATATATTTTTTAAATCAATTTCTTTCTTTTTTTCCCAGAACCTAAGAGGTGGGAAAAGTTTGGCTCCTCAGTGAGAAGCTGTCTAGCCTCAAACTTCAGCTCAGTTAAGAAAAAAAAAAAATTAAAAAACCCCCTGTGCCTATAAAAGCACAGATAGATTCTTCCTCCTCTCACATAACATGGAACTACTAGAGGAATTCTGTTGAAGTGCTCTACATCCCTTTTCTCAAGCCACCAGAGAACAATTAGGAAGAAGAAACACAGAATTTAATTTAATTTGTTCTTGAAATCTGCGAACGTCTGGAGCTGAAGTTCCAATGGGAACTGACCAGGATTCCCGCCAGCGTTTACACGTAAAGATACATTGTTCATGTTTAAATAACAGTGGCTATTTCGCCAGCCCTTGTTCCGGGACACATACAAGCCCTCCCTGCTCAGCAAGGGACGGATCTGCTTTGGCCCGTGTACGCATCTTTCACACCACCACTTCCCACAGGATCAGTTTGCCTGTTTTCCCTCACCTTCCATAAGGAAGTAAGAGGGAACAACGAGACAACAACCAAAAAAAAAATCCAAAACTTAAAAACACAAATGTTCTACTATAAAGCGAAAGAAAAGGTCTGGCCGGAACACAGCGCCCGAGAGTTTACCACAACACTCCTTCGGCTACACTCCGGGGCAGCTCCCAGACGGCAGCAATCCATCCCCTCATCCCCTGAGCCGCGGGACTCCATGCCCACAGCTCTGCAAGTTCTGACTGAGTTGAACAGGAGCACGTTCCGACCCAGCCACCGCTCGGCTTCCATCACTCCGGATCCCAAAGGAGCAAGACGCTGCTCCAGGCACTGGTACGGTGCCGAGCAAAGGCGCGGGATCAGCTCCCGGGATCCTGAGGAGCAGGGGCTGGCAGCAGGGAACGAGAGGAGCCGATGGAGGGCAGGGACCCCGCACGGGCGGGACGGGGCACGGGGGCAGCGCGGCCGCCGGGAGTTGCCGAAGTCCCGGGGCTCCCGGTGCCCCCTCCGGGCTGCCGGGGCTCCCGCTCGCACTCACCGCCTTTGACGCCGACGCCGGGCTCCAGCCGCGCCACAGCGATGACCAGCACGATGCCGAGGATGAACCACTCCTTCCGCAGCCGCTCCAGCAGCCCCATGGCGCTGCCCGGCGCGGCGCGGCTCGGCTCGGCTCCGCCCGGCGCCGCTCGGTCCGGTTCGGCCGGGCTCGGTCCGGCTCCGCTCGGCTGCTCGGGGCGGCTGCGGGCGCGGGGCGGGGCGGCCCCACCGCCCGCCGGCAGGGCCAGCCGGATCCGCTGACGGCACAGGGCTCACCCACCGCCGCCATCGCTACCACGCGCCTCCTAATAGGCGCGCAGCCCCGCGCTGCCGCCCGCCCGCCCGCACGGCTGCGCGCAACCGGGGCAACCCGCCGGCTCCGGCCGCCCCCGCCCCGCATCCCCTGCTGAGGCGGACAGCACGAGCGGCGGTGGCGGGAACGGGACGGCTCCGTGGCTGTCGTCGCCGGGCGGGTCGGGGAGAGCGCGGGCACAGAGTCGGCAGGGCGGGCGGGCGCGGGGCCGGGCGCTGGCGGCAGGGCGGGCGCAGCGTGAGATGCGCGCTGCTTTGGTGCATTACAGCGCCCGCGTGACGGCCGGCGCCTGACGCGCGGGGGGCGGGCGCGAGCCGGGAAGCGCCGGGGCGGGATCCGGGATCGCTCCGTGAGGGCGGGCGCGGGCCGGGGCCGGCCGGGCGAGCACCGACAGCGGCGCTCCCCGCAGCCCGGGGGCCAGGAGCTCCGGGAGGGCGGGGGCCGCCGCCGCCTCACGCACCTGTTACCGGTGCGCGCTCCCGCCCGCCCTCACGGCGCTGCGCCGCCAGGGACACGTGGATCGGGATCGCCCGGGAGTTCCCATTGAGCGCCCGCCTGTCCGTTCTGGGCAGACCCAAAGGCACCTGTTCAGCCCCTGTCGCGAACAGTACTCCCAGCGGCGGGCGGTTCCCTGGTTTGCCTCAGTGCTAGAGCCGCTTCCATTAAAACCTCGTATCCTAAAACCTAATCCTGGGGCTCCACCCGCGCTTTCCATTCCCTGTTCCCCTCTTGCGGCGCTTCCCCGATGGATTCATCGTCCTGCCCGGCCACGGCCACCGTGCTCCAAGCCCATGGACAGGGAGATGAAAAAGCAGGAGAAGTTCTGCCTTCCAGCGGCTCCCGCCGGCGCTGCCCCGTCCGGCAGGGCTCTGCCATGCCCGGCAGCTCTGCTGCCCCATTCCTGAACATCTCGGGCAAGTTTCATCCTGCACAGTCTCTGCCGATGTATTCAGGCTTCAAGAAATAGCCTTGCCGCGGGCTTTCTGCTACCAAGGAAAGAAATGTTTATAGCTGAAAGCTCAACTGATCTCCAAGATGTGTATATCCCTGCGTGTCCTGGGAGGTTCACTTGTGGAAACAGGGATACATCGAAGCCGAAGTGTTTGGATATGGGAGGGAACGTGCCTTCTCCCACCCGCAAGCAGATCCAAAGTGGGAGGTTTAAATTGATTGTACATTTCACTGCTTTACTAAAGTTTACTGGAGTACATGTTGATCCTTGATCCCTTCTCAGGAGGGAGAGACGGATGGCAAAACCTCCCTGCACTTGCCCTGTGCAACCACTCACTGCAGGTTGGCTGTTTTGGGAGAAAATAAATGCATAATGTGTTCATCTAGAGCAAGCTGTGATTATGACGAGTGTAGGATTTGATTACTTGGAGGATTTGATTGCTGCACAGGAGAGATAAATCAGATAAAGATGTGCAGTCGATGTTTATCATATAAACTATATTAAATCTCCCTGTGGATACTCACTCACAGGTGGCCCTAGTTCCAGGACATGGATCAGAGCATGCACACCTTTTCCTGCGTGGCTCTGAAGGCACACCACCAAGGGCAAAGGCCCTCTGGTCTGAATATAACAGGAGACCATGGAGATGTCCATGGTTTCCCTGGTAGCTTTCTTCTGAATTTGTACACAGTGCAGGAGCTCCTAACAGAGATGGGAAGGAGACTTTGCACCTGTTCCTAGTGACTCCAGCCAGGCCAATGAGTTGTAAGATGCAGAGGCCTCACACTGCACTAGCAGGGCTAGAAGGCAGGAGCAGCTCCAGCATAATTCAGGAAAAAAATATAATAAATAATCTGTTTAGGTCAAAAGTTATGGACTCAGAAGTTAGAAACAGCTGAACTTCATAGTGAATGAAAGTGCTGCAGTATCAATTTCTGCAGAAGCTGCAGAGGCATGCAAAGAAGGGGCAGGTAAGGGAGATGCTCACCCTGGCAATAGAATTCAATCACGCAATAAAGACAGCAGCCTCACCCTGCTTTTGCATCCTACTTTTTTCATGGTAGTAATTCTGCTGCTCACTCTTTGCAGGTGGATACTAATAATAAATTTCTCATCTTGCTTAGTGTTCAAGTCAATTCCAGTTAATTTTGCAAAACAAGTTTCAGATATTTGCTCATAGCAGATCTAATTGGCAAAAGTTAAAAACCTCGGGTTCCAGGTTCAGTCCTAGGCTCTAGAAGGTGCTTCTCAATTTCCCCCCAAAAGGGTCACACCCTCTGCACAGTCCCAAGCCTGTTTCTCCTTCTCTAAAAAAAGGATGAGATATCACATTGGCTATTACATTTAAGAACTAGAACAGTTAAGAAAATATATACTAAAAACCACAAACAAACAAGAAAATCCCCCCAGATTAAATGGTTATTAGATATACAGGACTTATCACTACACTCAAAATAAAAAAGATAAGCTTTAATGAGGGTCTCATGCTTTGAATGGATGTTTTGCCTTTAATTTTTTTTCCAAGAGATCTGAAGTTTGTCATAAATAACTTTTGCCATTTGAGTTACAAAATACCCTGGTTCACAAGGCCCTGTGCTTCTGTAATCGTTAAAATTATATGCAGATATTTTGAGCTGTGTGTTGAAGGACTTGTACAAAGATGTTTTAGCTGGTTTTTGGGTTTTTTTTTTTTTTAAGCTGTCCTGCTATGACTGTGATAAGCATACACATATCTTAGATTAAATAGATGAAACCATTCCTGCTTTTAAATAGGAGAGGACTCTGTAAGCCCTGCTGTGTCCCACCAGAGTGAAGCAGAAGGGAAGAAAACACTACACATGAATTCTATAATTGGCAGGACACTCACACATCCTAAACCTGTCTGCAAGGCAGTGTCACTGTTGCTATCAGGGAATTTACTATCCATATAGAGGCATTTGGTCCCTATGAGAGAGGGACAGTCCAGTGTCTGTCCTGTCGTCCAAAACTGCCTCCTGCAACATTTCATATTCCTCCCCATGTTCCTATACAGATAATACTTATATTCTAATAAATGCCAGGACTCAAACAGATTTGGAAGGTCTGGTACATGTGTATGTTTATTCTCTGTTACATTGTACAAAAAACGTTTAGCTGTGGCTTAGACATAGTACAGGAACAAGAATTGAGCTTCTCTCTGATTTCACATGACCAAAATTTCATTTCTGTTCAATTGCAAACATACCTCGGGGCTTCCAGATGCTTTCCTGCCTCCAAAGGCTCTTGTGCTTCCTTCTGCATAATACAAAAGCTCTGTGACATGTGTAGCTACGTGGCACCAGGTCCTTGTTGCTCACAGGTAGCCTGCTGAAACCAGCAGGGCTGTTCCTGTGAGCAGGGACTGGATTTCATGTCTGCAAAGATGCAGGAATGGACTGGACATTTCTGGGCTTCACATTTTGAACAACCACTCTTGTGTGGTTTGAGCCTTTTCCTTTTGTGTGCCCAGCCTCTGATCTGCACCACATACCTCACTGCCTGATAACTGCACAGTAATTTCATTGAATGTGCAAGGATTTTCATGCTCCTGAGTAGCAGATGTCATCTGATTATGCATTTAGACAGGAGAGATTTTAATATAAAGGAGAGGGGATCACCAGATAAAGGGAGCTTAAATGAGAAGAAGAGATAGTATTAAATAATTTAGCTTGAAAAGAACAAAGATATTCAGAATGAACAAGATAAAGAGAGGTGTTAATTATAAATAGGAAAGTTGAGGAGAAAAAGTGGAAATATATGGGAGGCAGTTTACAACACATTTATATTTCTCACAAGCACTTAGTGGCATGATCTCAGATTTTCTCAGAGAAAATTGAAAAGGTTGCTGTACTGATCCCAGTAGCTGGATTTCCTCATGGAAGAGGAAGTTTACAAGTCTTTATTGTGCCTTGGCCTAGGTGCTTATACTGCTTGAGGCATCTGCAAGGGATCTTGGGTTCTTGCTACTGAATATTATTGAATACCTATAAACACTTAGGTATTGCCAGCTGCAGGACTTACTACCCTTAGCATAATGCAGTAGCAAGAATTCTGTACAAGTTCAATTTAGAATAGTACTTAATGGGACTTACACATATAAGTGTGCTTTTCTAAATAGAAGCTATGAGATGATTAAAGGTTTTGTGAATCTCTGAGTTTATTATAATGCTATGATCTTTTTTTCCCCAGGGACCTTAAATGCAGAATACTTTTTTGTTTTTAACTTGTAATAAAAGGTCCTCTTACATATTTAGTTATTCAACAAATAAGTGATTTTTCTTTTATTTAAGAGCTCAGTGTGAAATCTTCATGAGATAATCTCAGACATTATGAAAAAAATTTAAAAGACAACAAGTGGGGGTTTTGCTAATCCCTTCCCTAGAACCTGCTTCTTCTTACCAGAAACAGAGCCTGGTTTACTGATGCTCCACTCATTATATAAATTTGGAGAAATTTTTCATGTTTAGCACTTTTTCACAGAAATACAGTTTCCCAGTAGACAGCAAAGTGATAATGTATTCAGAAGGTTGCATTGAAAAAATTAAAAAGGAAAAGAAAAGCTATTGGCATAATAAAGCTATTGCTCTTGATACAAATTATGAGCTTCTTCAACTGCAATTCAAAAACAGGAGACAATTTTTTTTTTTTTAACCACGAAAAACTGTACATATTTAAACCTGAAAAATGAAAGCAAAAAACAGGAACTAGCTTCCCTGGATAATTTCACAATGAACAACTGCATTTAACCTATTAAATAAAAGGCTTCAGATATAACAGGGGGATACCTTCATATCTTTTTCTCCTTATGCTTACAAAAA